CCTTCCTATGAGTGCACAGGGATAATGGTAGATAAATACCTGGAGGGTTTGGAGGATGTTGACGTACGAAGACATGTAGGCCTGAAGGAGCCCGCCACCTTGGACGAAGCAATTACTATGGTTGCCCAGTATGAGGCAATTACCAAAGAAGTTAACGCTGCAAGGAAACCACCTATGGGGAGAGTGCATCAGGTAGGAGGAAAGAATAACCAAGAGTCTAACACAGGAGCTATGGCAAAACTACTGAAAGGTGTTAGCTAAGAAGGTACAGGACTTGAAGGCGGCAGTGACAAGACAAAGACTAACTGAGGCTGGCTATATGCAAGGCGGGACAACTCGCTACGGATATGGGAACTCAGGAAACTATGCGGAAGTTAGACCATTTTCCAACTCATCCCAAGTGGAATGTTTCTACTGCCATCAGAAAGGGCATGTGCAGAGAAATTGTCCTAACAAAAGAACATCCGGAGACTATAAGGGAAAAGGGCTGAATCCCGCAACACCCAGCGAGAAGGTGTCAGGATCCTCCGTGCCATTAAACTAACAGGGACCGGGCATAAGGTCAGTGACCTGGTCCAAGAAGGAAAGACCACGGCGACACTGTTTCCCATTGGTCTTGTTCCTGAAGCCGTTAAGGAGACAGAAGCGAAAAAATCTGGATTAGATACGGAAAAGGAATCGTTAAAACCTATGGAGAATAAGAAAATGGGAGTGTCAGTATTATCTTCTCAATGCTGGCAGGTGACTATCACGATAGAAGACAAAGCATTAGAGTTTATCATCGATACAGGCTCAAGCGTAACACTTTTGGATGAGGATGTTTACTGGACCCTAACCAAAAGTCGGGATCAGACGTTAGAGCCGACATTTCAGTCATTGAAGGTGGCCAATGGAGATAACCTTAAAAGCTTGGGGGAAGCTGAATTTGCAATGAAAATAGAGGATCGTACTTTTTCAAGTCGCATGATAATTTCTTCACTAGGCCAGGCGGATGGACTGCTGGGACTGGACTTTCTGGAGACATATAATTGCATATTTGATATCAAGAAAGGATTGTTACACGTCAATGGGGAGACTGTAAGATGTCATCGAGAAGAGGAGGAATTTCCCGTGCCTGTATATGTGGCGGAAACCACGCTGCTAAAACCAGGAGAAGGCTACTTGGTTCCTGGAAAAGTAGGAATGAAAATGAAGGCTGAAGGCGAATTCTTAGTTATGATTGAGGCCATACAACAGTTCAGAGATTTAGAATGGATGGGACTGCACCTAGCCCGGACCATGCCAAGGGGTAATACAACTAGTATTCCCTTACAGATAATCAATACTGGAAACAGCACAGTAGAACTACAGGAAGGTCAACAAGTGGCTGAATTAGTTCCAGTTGTTAACGTGGTACAGTTGTCTAAAGGAACAGAGGTGGATGAACTTTCTGCAAGTCAGAAAAAGGATCCAAAACATTTACCCGAACACCTTCAGGAACTGATGGATGGAGCAGATTGCGATCTCACATACCCTCAGCAGCAACGACTCGCAGGTCTTTTGAATGAGTTCAAGGATCTCTTTGTCGGCACCACATTGACACCGGAACTGCCAGACCCATCAAACAGCCACCCCGGAGGCTTCCCGTTCACCGCAAACCACAAGCAGAAGCTGAAATTAAAGACATGTTAGAAAAAGGAATTATAGAACCAAGTGCCAGTCCGTGGGCTTCGCCCATTGTTCTAGTTACTAAAAAGGATGGATCAGTAAGGTTCTGTATCGATTATCGGAAACTTAACGAGGTTACCAGGAAGGATGCCTATCCCTTACCAAGAATTGATGAGATGTTTGATGCGCTTGCTGGAGCTCGATGGTTCAGTACGTTAGACCTTGCTAGTGGCTTCTGGCAAATAGAAATGGACGAGGAGTCCAAACCAAAGACCGCTTTTGCCACGAGAGAAGGATTATTCCAGTTTTCCGTTTTACCATTCGGATTAGCCAATTCTCCAGCAACATTTGAGAGAGTCATGGAGTTAGTTCTGCATGGATTACAATGGAAACAATGCCTGGTTTACCTGGATGATATAATTGTTTTCGGCTCTACTTTTCGAGAAAGCTTAAATAACTTAGAGATGGTACTTTGTCGACTGCAAGAAGCTAACCTGAAGTTAAAACCATCCAAGTGCCACCTCTTCCAGACCAGTGTTCAATTCCTTGGACACGTTGTTTCGGATGAAGGAATACAATGTGATCCCAACAAGGTAGAGGCAGTGAAAGACTGGAAAACTCCGTCGAATATTAGAGAAGTACGCAGCTTTCTTGGATTCGCATCCTATTACAGACGTTTTATACCAGGATTTGCTACGATTGCCTCCCCTCTTTCCGCTCTCACCCAGAAAAATTCTACCTTTCATTGGGATGAAAGCTCAGAAGGTGCTTTTAGGAGATTAAAGGAATTGCTCATAACAGCTCCCGTACTCACCTACCCCACACCAGAGGATGAATTCATTTTAGACACTGATGCAAGCAATACAGGCGTTGGAGCGGTTCTCTCACAAACACAAAATGGAGAAGAAAGAGTTATCGCATACGCCAGCAGGACATTGAACTCATCGCAGAAGCGTCGTTCAGACAGGAGACATGATGTGATGAAGCCAGATAGAAAAGTAATTATGAAGCCTCTTGCTGATCAAGATGGTGTTGCAGGACATGTGGCTGAGGAAGAACAGATAACCGGAGGAGATGGGCTAAGAAACCCCAGTGATCCCGACAGAGGGACAGGGTTTGGCCATGTAGGAAACATTGTTGGAGACAATGGAGCACCATTTGATGCCAATGTGGCAGGAACAAATGAGAATAATGGTGGGGATCCAGAGACGTGGACTCCGGGATATATAAAAGAGTTACAGGATAAAGATAAGGTTATCACGTTCTTTCGACAGTTAAAGGAGAGCAACTCACTTCGACCAGCAATGGCAGAAATCGTAACCATGGGTTATGAAGCTAAGGCTTATTTGGCCCAATGGGATAATCTAGAGGTTCATGATGGTCTTCTCTACCGACGGTGGATAACGTCAGTGACGCCAAGTTTTCCCACTAGACAACTCCTAATTCCACAAGTACTTCGGAGGAAAATATTTCAGCACCTTCACTACCACAGAATGGCAGGACATCAAGGGATACGGAGAAGTCTGTGTTCTGTACGCCAACGCTTTTATTGGCCAGGATATTCATCGGACATAAAGAGATGGTGTCGCCCGTGCACAGTGTGCGCTCGCAGGAAGCCAGGCAAAGGACCCAAGAGAGGAACTCTACAACAATCAATAGTAGGAGCACCATTCGAAAGAATAGCTATTGATATTTTAGGACCACTTGAAGAGACTCAGAATGGAAACAAAGTAATCATGGTCGTCTGTGATTATTTTACTAAATGGGCAGAAGCCTATGCACAAATCATGAAGCATATACGGTAGCGGAACAGCTCGTCACCCAATATATCTGTCGTTACGGTGTGTCATGTCAGATACACACTGATCAAGGAGCTGACTTAGGATCAAGATTAATTCAGGAACTCTGCAAGCTATTACAAATAAACAAAACTAGGACAACCCCATATTACCCGCAATCTGATGGACTGGTAGAAAGATTCAATAGAACAGTGCAGAAAATGCTGTCCTTGTTTGTGAACGATTCGAGGGATGATTGGGATGACCACCTTCCCTATGTAATGATGGCTTATCGAGCGACCTCACAAGCCTCAACAGGATGTTCCCCAAACCTGATGATGTTTGGAAGAGAAATTCATCTGCCAATAGATATAATGGTTGGTCCGCCACCTGAAATTAACACGAGATTACGTTGCCCACACGAGTATGTAGAATGGATTCGGGATGTAATGGCGGAGTCCTATGAATTCGCCCGGGAGTCACTAAAACAGGCTGCTCGGCGTCAGAAGAAAAGTTATGATAAAAGAGTGAAAACATTAAACTTTAAACCAAATGAATGGGTTTGGTATTGGTATCCTCCAGGAGTGAGAAGAAAACTTGGCTTGGGATGGCAAGGGCCATATCTGGTACTAAGGAAACTGAGTGATGTTCTGTGTGAGATACAACCATCTCCGCAAGGAAGAAAAAAAGTAGTTCATATAGATAGCTTAAAACCTTATGAGGCAGAAGTCATGCCTACCAGCTGGATCCAATTAAGGACAGAAGCCGACACAGATAGGGAAGAATCAACCACCAAGGAAAATGAGGAACATGATGGGCAGGAATTCGTGCACGAGGAACAATGCATAGAACGGGAAAGTGACGAGGAGATAGAATTTACCAGATTATTTGATCCTCTTAATACCCCAGTCCTAGACGACACTCTCCCATATTTACCCCAATTAATTCAGGAGGATGATACTATTATGAAAGGGGGTCTATTAAGCTCGGAGGAAGCTCACACTGGGAAAGGGGGTCTATTAAGCTCGGAGGAAGCTCACACTAGGAGAGGAGGTCGGAACAGAAAGCCACCTCAAAGGCTTGATTTGTGATAAAACGCTGGCTAAATAGGATGTATATTTACTTTTTGCAGGAGAGAGAATATGTCAGACAGAGTGGAAGTCCATGTGCGCCCCGGCGAGGTGTTATCGGAAACCGAAGAGGCGCAATGCTGTACGGCGGACGGATGCAGAAAAACGTTTAGGAAGCGTCGGAATCTAAAACGGCACTTACAGGAGAAGCATGGGCCTATTGTTCGGAAGTTTGTCTGCCCTTACTGCGACCAGCTGCAGGCAAGCAGGCGTGACGACATCGGGAAGCACATCCGCAAATGGCACCAAGACAGGCCAACAGTGGATCTTGCAACAATACAATATGTTGAGTCGCGCAGAGGGGAGCTGAAACTAGATAGAGCCGCTACCACCAGGAAAGTGGACAAGGAAACAAGTAAGAAAGAAGAAGTCGGCACAAAGAGAAGAAGGATCGAGTACCCTGAGGTCAAAGGAGGAAAGCATACCGGAAAGGAGAAGGAAATAGACCCTGCATCACCACGACCCAATACACTCACCCTGTTGGACCTTCCTCGGGAAGAAACAAACTCAAAACCCAATAAAGTTGCCGTTAACATCAATACCATCAGCTCAGCCTGGAACCTCGCTCCCCTAGGCACGTCTCCTGGAATAGAGCTAAGACAGAAGAATGGGAGGGCGAATCTACGGATGAAGCGACTGAGAGATAGGATAGGAAAATTACAGGAGGACTTAAAGCAGGAAGAAGTATTTAGCGACCGGTTACGAGACGAAATAAGGAAGGAGGAAGAGAGCATTGTAAAGGAGGAAAGAAGACGAGCTTGCGAGATGGAACAGCGATGTAGAGAGAAGAAAGGAGAAGTAGAAAGGGGCTGGCAGCAGACGCTAGCTAGGAAGGAGGAGTTGATTAAGACCCTCCAGCACCACGTGCAGGAGATGAAGGCCACGGCGGCGATACACGAACGGGACCCCATCGGTCACCTGAGGCAGGAGCAGGTGCTGGACCTCCTGCGCTCCAAGGGATGGGACCTGGCCGTGGAGAAGCCGACGAAGGAGGATAGGGATCTGACTCCAGCGATACCTCCAGCGACAGCAGTTCGTCCAGTGAGGCAGAGTAAATGTAGCGTGAATAGGTAGTTTACTAAAAGGTGATTATATATCAGGTATTTTATACTTTTATAAGTTGTGATGTAAAATTTATATGAAGCGAAACGTAAAAAGATGTGATCGTAGTAGAACGTATACACCGTAGTCAGTATACAGTAGTATTTTCTAGTGCCATGTCTATTATCGAGATAGTACAGTATGTAAAATGTTTAATTGCATGACTTGTGATATAAAATGCGTGTATAATATTTTGTTTTAAAAGTCACCCATCTCATCTGGGGACAGATGACTTTAAGGAGGGGGGAGTGTGATGATTCTATATTTATCATCTATATACAACAGGTGCTATAGAGAGGTGTATGTACAGGTGTATTTGTCAGTATTAAAACTCCTAAAAGATTTCAACATGTGATATGTTATATTTCTCGGTGCTATAAAAATAGCTTAAACAGATTTACATAAAGGAATAGAGCCACAAATCTGACGCGCATATAGTCTAAGTAGTGTGAAGAGTTGTGGAGATTTCAGGGGGGATGACGTCATACAACCAGAGACCAGCCACCGCAACAGAGGTAGAAAGTTTTCCCCAGCGACACAAACAAGCGAGAGGGAAGGGTCTCCCATGGCTACCAGATGTGGGAGATCAGGGAGTTGCGGCATCACGTACACGCACCGGGAGAGAGAGCGGCGCCGGCCGAGCACGTGGCAGACAGGGGAGTGTGACGCTCGGACATATACTGGACCGAGGGGTGCATCACCTGTACACGTGTTAAGCGAGGGGGGTCAACGTCGAGGCACCCGACGCACGGGACATGGAGGTACTGAAAGGTTCCTACGTTATCCCAGGGTTCTATATAAGCAGCCAAAATCCTATGGTAAAGTCAGTCAGTCACCAGACTGGTTCACTAGGACCTCAGGATAGGACAAGAAGGAAACCAGGACACATCCTTTCGGAGCTATTCGGAGCATATCATTAGGCCTTAGGTAAGTCGGAATACGTGTACGTAGGTTACGTGTATTCGGAGACAGAGATTGTGCGCCGAGATTCGGAGCAGCTCTGTTCCCGTAGTTTACGTGTATTCGGAGACAGAGATTGTGCGCCGAGATTCGGAGCAGCTCTGTTCCCGTAGTTTACGTGTATTCGGAGACAGAGATTGTGCGCCGAGATAATTAGGAGCAGCTCTGTTCCCGTAGTTTACGTGGTGTTACGACATTCGCCAAACAGAGATTGCTGCCGCCGAGATTCGTGAGCGAGTCGTATCTAGTTGCCGCTAGTTTACGTGTATTCGGAGACAGAGATTGTGCCGCCGAGATTCGGAGACCAGATTTCGCTTCCCGTATGTTTACGTGTATTCGGAGACAGAGATTCGGTGCGCGAGATTCGGATGCCGAGCTCTGTATCCCGGGTAGGTTTACAGGTGTATCGGAGACAGAGATTGTGCGCGAGATTCGGAGCAGCTCTGTTCCCGTAGCTTATACCGTGCTATCGGAGACAGAGCTTGCCTGAGCCGAGATTCGAAGCAAGATGCTGTTCCCGTAGTTTACGTGTATTTTGGGAGACAGAGATGTGGGCGCGGGCGAGATTCGGAGCAGTCTTCTGCTTCCCTGTAGTATTACGTGTTTCGGAGACAGGAGATTTGTTGCGCTAGATTCTGAGCATGGCTCTGTTCCGTAGTTTTACGTGTAATTCGAGACAGCAGATTTGTGCGCGAGATTTTCGAGGCAGCTCTTTCCCGCAGTTTTACGGTGTTATTCGGAGACAGGGAGATTGTTGCGCGAGATTCGGAGCAGTCATCTTGTTCCCGTTAGTTTACGTGTATTCGGAAACAGTAGAATTGTGCGCTGAGATTCGGAGCAGCTCTTTCCCGTTAGTTTGACATGTATTCAGAGAGCGAGATTGTTGCGCACGAGATTCGGATGCAGACCTTGTTCCGTAGTTTTCCGTGTATTCGGAGACAGCAGATTCGTGTCGCCGAGATTCGAGCAGTCTCTTGTTCCCGTAGTTATACGTTCGTATCGGAGACAGAGATTGTGCGCGAGATTCGGGAGCAGATCTGGTTCCCGGTGGTTACGTGTATTCCGGCAGACAGAGATTGGCCGCCAAGATTCGGGAGCTAGCTGCTGCTTCACGTATGGTTAAGCATTCGGAGACACAGATTTGTGCGTCGAGATTTCGGGCACTCTCTGTTCCGTTAGCGTTACTTATTGTAAGCGGGCATGATTCCATAGGCGCGAAAGCGATGGCGATGCGGGGAAACAGCAATCTTGGGCGCCGCTAGTTCGAGAGGACGCGTCCACGGCCTCTGTGCTCACAACATGTCACGCGTGGAACTACGCGGGCCGGTTCGAGCACGCTAGCAAGAGGTAAGCAATAATCGAGCGCAGGGCTAAGGTTTCCCGGAGTGTGGCATTTTGACAACTAGACGCTGGACCATTATGAACCTATTGACATCAGGTCAGGAATGGGACCACGGGATCCAGCTAAGTGCGGAGTGATCACTCATACCATGTACCATGTTTCGGTATGGATTAATGTAGCCAGGCATTAGGGGGACTGCATTACCGTATTTGTATGGTCAGTGGCCCAGCGAAAGAGCTTATTAACTAGTGGCTGGGTGACGTATGGCGAAGGACCGCGGCTATAAATAGTGCGAGCGCGGATCCGCGCTCGTCGAGGGCTTTGTTAAGAAGACACACAATTGATTAAAAGGTTGAAGCTGGCGTGATACGTTGCTATGTAGGTTGAACGGTCTGAGGGTCTGTATACATTGAGACTTCATGCTTTGTATACATGTACGCTAACACTAGTGGACGCTACTTCTTGTCTTGTCTATGTCTCTATCAGTGCTTATTCACAGGAACTCGTTACAAAGGTAGTGCGAACTTTTTCAAACCCCACTACATTGTGGTGCAGGACCAGTCGCACTTTGGGGTATTCCTTGCGAACAACGCAGGGGGAGCGAGCGATCGATTAAACCGTGGTCATAGCATCGCACTACGGCATGGTTTCTCTAGCGGTAAATCCGGTAAGTACTAATATTTCTTCCGGCTTATAAACGATGTTTTCTAACGAGAATTATCTTGCGAGAATGCGCTTCACTGTACACATATCGACAGTAGTTAATAATTAAAGGAAGTAATTAGAGAATAGTATAACTAGTGATTGCGATCCCTTAGTTACTTACACCGAAGATCCGCTCTCCATACCTGTCGCTGATCAGTTCGCTGCTATTGCCCTCAGTTAGATCCTAATGACTACATATGAATCCCACCTATGGCACGCGCCTTCGTAGGAACCGCCGCAGATGGCATATGATATTTTCGTTAGCTTTGCGTTTGCTATTGGGGAAGCGTGAAACTATTTGTTAGACAGTCTAAGGGCAGCAATGTTGATATATCGTCCGCGCCTGCACGAGCTTGCTGCGCGAGTATACCTAATATTCAGCGGGTCTCGCCGGGTCCGGCCTACATGGTCATTTTTGCGCCCGTGGCGGGATGCTTACAGCTTTTTGGGGCGGCGTTCAGTTAGAAGTGACCTGATAGACAATTTGGATCAATAGCGGTTATTCATCATTTACACGGAGGGGTTGGCCACAATTTTTTGGCGCGTAAGGACATATACTTGCAAATGTGAGGCATCACTTGGTCACAACTGCTTTAGTACATCTGCACGTCAGTACCGAAACCCGGCCAGGGAAATTCACTGCGCATCAGGAAATTGATTGAAAAATTTCAGGGCGGCAAACGCTTCGGAAAGCCGCGTGCGTATGCACAGGTTCTATTTTGAATATGCGAAGTGCCGCATATCCAAGATAGTCATAGGAATTTGAGGCGTTTTTTTCAGGCACGTTTAGCAGATAATATATTTTTAGATGGCCTCCAAAGTGTGCCAGCTCAGAGAGCCGTCAACAAAATCCGGCAATATTGGAAGCTGCCGTGGAAATTTGTCTGCGGCAAGCGACAGTAGAAGCTTGAGATTGGCAGCTCGCATACTGCGCGTCGTTTCGCTGCCAAACGCTTGTATCATATGCAAAGCGACAGAAATGGCCAAACCGCTGGTTATGCCGATTCGGTCGCGTGCCGGTTTCTCGTACCGCCTCAGCATCTTAATACGCTCCGGGGAATGACGATAATTTGCCGCCAGCTTTGCGCAGTTGGGGGAGCTAGTCAAAACCCAGACACAGATGTGGAGGGCTGTGCCGATGATCGTTGCGGGATCGTCGGCTGATCAGCGCAACATTTGATTCTAATCGACAGCCATTTTTGCTATGCTCCTCCGTTTCGCGCCTATTTACACCCCACCTTCTGTCCTACATTCCACCTTCAGCGCGCGTGGCGTGCACAGCGACTGGGGTGCTGCCATTGCTTCGCGCATCTCGCTGCGCTGCTACGAATGTGGACGGACTTAGGGCCACATAGGTCTGTGATTGCACGCCTAAGTAGGAGTCAACAGCGGGGATAACTTGAGGAGGGGGTCAAGCATGAATTGGTGAGAATGTTTTTTTCCGAAACCCCCTGACCTTCCCATATATAATAGGCATCGCGTTGCACTACACGCTATATACTGCGCCCGCGTTGTCTGTTAGAAATAGAGGGTAGACGTGTTTAAACTCGGTTAATTGATCACTGGAGCAGAAATTTTGTCTGTTAGAGCGAGGCAATTGTGCGGAGCAATCTTTCACTCTCCGCCGACGTATCGATGGTAGGTTTAAACGCCGATTTTCCACGCTATATCGGTAGTGGATATTTCTATCCAGTGTTAGGGCGGTAGGACTAACACTTTGTAATAGGCGAGACGTAAATATTCTGTTCAGCCTTTTTTCATATGTTAGTTAGCCGGTTTACCTAGACCATGTGTATAGGTGGTTGGGATTTTTTGCGTACTAATAGAGCCATTAGTAGATTTTAGAGGAATGTGCTTGCCATCTGCAAATTGACTACGCCTTCCATTAGTTCACCTAGTGATACAACAATCACTGTTCGCCTGCGCAAGCAACAGCTGTTACACTGCCACCAGCGTACGCGCGGGCTGTCGATTAACTCGCGCCCTAAGAGTGCTACGTGGAGGCGCGGGTATCACGTTACGGACGTGGATATGCACGCCGGAGATGTGCAAAGCGGGAAGTCGGCGTGGTTCACTCGTCAATCCTAAACTAATGCTCGACGAGACCTAATGATCTACAGCAAGATAAATTCTCACACAGGATTACATACGTCAGTGTTACTGATACGCCAACCGGTGTCAGTCCAAGTCCGCAAAACGGGATGAAGGGATAGCTTACTATTGAGAGACCGGGCGCGATAGCAGCCAGATGTCGGGTACGGAGACAGCATCGTTGCCATCGGCAAACATATTGGTTTTTAGCAGCGCTGCTAATGCCATGTGGTGAGAGAGGCAGCAG